GAGTTTTTTTATATTTGGTGTGACCTCTTCGTTATTCAGTAAAGAGTTGTTCAATTTCCAATAAGAAGAGTTAGAATTTATTTTGTCAGAAAAATTGATATTAAGCTCAATAACTTTATGGTCAGTAAGAGGGGTAGGTAAGATATTAACAGTAACAGCTTCCTTGTTTATTGAATCTGAGATTAGCCAAAAGTCTATCCTAGATTGTTGAGATAACGATTTATTATTCCATGTAAATGAATAGTCATATGGATGCTTAGTTCTCCAAATATCAATTAGATTAAATTTTCCCATAAAGGATTTGACAGTTGGGCTTGAGGCATTAGGTCTACCAGGAGGATACTTATCAGAGTTACCATCAAGGGTGGTATTAAAATCTCCTCCCATGAGAATTATAGCAGTAGGATATTTTTTTAACCAGTCTGGGAAGATCTTTTCAACTGTATGAAATAGCTTATCATTTTCTCCTTTGTTGTTGTAACCATAAATATTAGCACAAATGAAATAACAGTTTTCATATAAGAATAGTTGACAAATAAAGTGACCCTGTAAATCACATTCAGTAGAAATAACATTCCCTTTAAATCTGTGTTTTAACGTCATAACTCCCGCTGAGTGCTCGGACCCATGAGAAAACCAAACAGAATTACCCCATTGGGATTTCCAAAAAGTGACATCATCAACTGTGGAGTGACTTTCCTGCAAGAAGCAAAGATCACATTTGAAATTTTTGGCAAACAAAAATAATGCTTTTCTTTTTAACAAATTGCGCATCCCCCTGGCATTAAGAGAAACAAATGAAAGAGATAACATTTAAACAAGAAGTAACTTAGATAGTAAAGGTAGTTTGACAACATAACCACCGTGAGTCAGTACCTTATTGAAGTCTCAAACCTTAATTTGCAACATAGCTTCACCAAGTACCAGAACAGTAGAATGTATCATCAGTCAGGAGAAAAGATTTGTGATTATTCTTGCATAGGAGTGAATGTTGAGGGGATCTCCACGCCGTTGATAAAACCACGACCCGCGATGAAATAGGCTGACTTTCCCTCTTCCCGAGCCTTTTGGATGCGTGGCCATAGTTTCTGCCGGGAGTCACGGTCCTCTTTGCAGAGGTCTTCGGTAAAACGGAGTCCATTGTTTTTCAGGAAGACGTTTCCTTTAGCTSCTTTCCATATGAAGTCACGATATCTCCTCACCACAAAGCGAATGATAATAGCGCAGGGGCTGGAGCTGCCGGAGAGCCGTCTTCCAACTCGATGGGCGATGTCAATGAAGATCTGAAGCCTTTCTTTTTCTTTAGGAAGAACTTCCTGGCACACCCGCAGCACCTCCTCCATCACGTTCTCCTTCTCTGTCTCAGCAACTCCATGAAGTCTGAGGTTCCAGCGACGGTCATAACGCTCCAACTCCGTGACGCGGCTTAAACAGGATGTTGTATCCTTTTCAATGAGCTCCACACGTTTTTCAACAGAGTTGATTTTCTTCTTAATATCTTTAATTTCGTCTAGCAKGTTTCCCAGCTTTGTTTCTAAAGCATCACTTCTCGTGTTGATCAGGTTAGCAAGCATAGCAGTAGCATCATCGGGGTTAGGGTTGCTAGTTGGTCGAGAAACRTTTGGAAAAGGTTTCTTTRCAACTGGAGGTTTATTTGGTGTTACCGGGAGTGGTGGAAAGTCCTCTTCGTCATCAGCCTCAGGTTGAAGGGCGCCAGAAGCCGTGCCGACATAGTCATGGTCCTTATCTGCAGCTGCAGAAGTTTTTTCGAACTTGCTGTGGTCACTGGTTCTCTTTTGGGCTGTTTTTGGCATCTTTTCTGGGAGTGAGATAATCTTACTAGATACACAAGTTCTTAAATGTATTTATGCAAGAATATGATAAATAAAACTTGCAAATAAGAGTATTAGTACTGAGAGCACGGTGCAGGACGTCTTACTCTGCCGCCATCTTGGCCACGCTTCCGTATGCTAAAATATCTAGCAGACACTGTGCAGAACATCGACATCATTCAAAACTCCACCTCCTGTTCTCTGATTGGCCCGGCCGAAAATTCTCCTGAAGAAATCCTTGTCTGTTGGAGAAGTCCCAGCCGGAGCAGTGAAGAGAAACTAGAAGTGAGCAGAACTGCGTAGGAAGGCAAGGGCCAGGCTAGTAGCAGATAAACACTGCTGGTGTTTAAATCATAATTAAAACATACTTTGCGACTTATCTGGTTTCACCTGAAGGGTTCAGGTATGAATGAAACCTCAACATTCTTTTCCTGTAGTTTGCATTAAATGCTTTTAACCAGGACTTTTCACTTCAGACACATTCCCTTCTTTTGTCTCGAGCATGTCCTGCTCTGCTCCGGTGTCTTGACAGCCGTTCAGAGCTGCCTGTGCAAACAGTCCCCATCAGCACCTGAAATGTTATGTCTCCGTTCCATTAGTTAAAACACTCGGCTGCCTCAAGAGGCAACATGTCACAGGCTGAGGAACACTGGAGCGTGCTGGAGACTTGTGTGCATTCTCCCCGATCGACCACAGGCACGTCATACAAACATGTGACTGAACCCAGACCACGAGGGTCCGGTAACACCTGGGTCGACACGATTCAACATTTGCACATGGACATTTTTAATCACAAGYATCATGATGGAGTGCAGCTGTTACAGGGCTGTCAACAAGTGCAACAAAATAAAACCCACACTACTTTTGCCTGAAGACATATTATAGAAATATATATATATATATATTTTTCTTTAGCATGCATATGTAAATGTATATGTAAGAATAAATGTAACAATAAGCTCTGGTGATTTTAATTTAAAACTAAAACAAACTTTCTGAGTAAATGAAAAATATTGTTTCTGTAAACTTTGGATTTTAATGTGCAGGTGTAGGTGAAAACAAGTTTTCTTTCTCAATGTTTTATTTTCTAATTTTTATCACCTTCACATATTTGCTTTGTTGTTTAAACTTGAATGCACAAATTAAAAAAAGAATATAAATGTTTCATATTAGACATATTGGGTTAAAGTTCTAGTTGTGTCATAGTTCAGGAATTTTTTTAAACATTTTTATTATTCATTGTTTTATGATAATTTCACATTCTTGGTAGTATTTTTCTTGTCATTTGCTGCCGTTTCTTCTTATTCTATAGAGTTTATTGGCAGCTTCCTATCTTGTGTATCACTGCCATTAACCGGACTGAGGTGTAATCCACATACTAACTTGTCCTATTTTCCCTACCTTTAAAATAAAATAAATTCTCTGTTAACTTTGTGTCCTTTAAATACTTCAWAAGTGCTCTAATTATACAGTGTGATTCAGGTTTCCTTAATATATTAACCATGGATAGTGAAGTGCCTTTTGCCCTTTCCATTTCTATTCTCTAACATACTTTCTACATTTTTGCTGCTGTTCATATACATATACTGTACATATACTGTACATATACTATACATATACATGTACATATACTGTACATATACATATACATATACATACAGTATACATATACGTACATATACATGTCTTAAACCAAAACCTAATATACTGTATTTTTCCTGTTAAAATATCAAGATGAAAAAACAAAATCATATCCAGTTTAAGATTTAACAAGCTGTGACAACAAAACAATAAAATATCAGATTTTGTATCAAGTTAAAATAAAATCAAATGCATCAGCTGAATGAATGATGCACAACAAGCTAAGTACAGGTCAGGATTTGTGGATTTACCATGTCGGCTGTTAGAAAATCTCACAATCCCTCCACTTTGAGGAGGAAGAAAGTTCTTKAGTTCAGTGAGTCTCATAAGGTCAGATTGAGGTTTATAAAACATTAAAACTGAAACTGTTTCTACAATGGCTGTTTCCTGTTTTAAATTTTTTCATGATCACATCAAACTTTAGTGTCATAATAAACAGCACGCCCACATTTCTGACRTGACCTCAGGCACAATGATGCAGAAGCGTGCTCAGCTCCATCCATCTTCRTGTTGGACAGAAGATGTTTTTCCCCCCAGCTGTTTGCTCTCTCGCTCATTTTGTCAGAGCAGGAGATTTATCTAACGAAGCAACGATTAACAATCTGCTCGTTGTCAGCAGCACAACAGCTGGGACAAACCGGCCGGTGGCTGCTGCTGAGGGATTTGTTAGTCATTTGCTGAGAATGGATTAAGTTGGAAACAGCGTCTGACTTGTCCTGTAAACTCAGGCAGCTCCTGTTAGCTCAGGATGTTTTCTGCTGCTTTGACACATGAGGTCCAGTTTATAGTAGATGTTTGGCAGAAAGGAAGGGACGAGAGTGGAAGGGTCAAGTGGGCCGAAGCAGGTGTTCGCCAACTTCCTGAATCTGCTCTGATGGATCCCATCTGTGCTGCTGAGAGTTTATTATTTGCTAAAAGTGTTTTGATAAAGTAAACATTGTTAATGYGGGAGGATAAACAACAGAAGCTAGCGTTCTGACTCTGCTGACCTTTTGATTTTTAGGTAGATTTTTTTTGTTTTTGAAAATCTTTTAATAGTTAAATCCAATTAACTTGTGCAGCAAATAATTTTTTTAATTAATTTTTTGTAGTCTTATTGTTTTTCCACTGTTTGTTTGTTTATTCATTCATTCAGTGATATTTGGTCAATCGTATCATAACGGTTGCACCAATCAACGTGAAATTGAATGTAGATGTGTTGGACCTACACTGCGCCAGCCAGCGATTTTATGATGGACCCCATATTTGAGGAGGGGGCTTCATCTAAAAAGAGGACATATAGGAGCTTCAGATATTTTTTATTTACCGTAATTATTCAAGTATAAAATGTAAAATTAAATCCATAAAATTGTCCATAAAGTTGGGGGGCAGTACTATACTCGGATAAATATTTTTACTTATGTATTTTAACCAAAATATCGGCTTCATTCACAAAATGCCTGAGTCCAGAAATGAGGCCGCATCGTAAAAAGCGGKTGAAACGAGCTCACCTCTGACACTCCTTCATGCTTCAGAGCGAGATAATAACAGATCCAAACAGGTGACATGATGTGAAAAAAAAGAAAGAGTAGTCCTGCACCTTAGTAATGATAACGAACATCAGCGTGTGACCGGGCCATTCCTCGAACAACAACAAACATGTTTGTCTGTAATGGCTGCCATCTACCGGTGTTCTGAAAAAGTTTGTATCCCTGAAAAAATGTTTCCCCACCAGARGGGGCRCTYGCAAGTAGGAAGTAATCTGCTTTTCCTCCAGAAGATGGYCCAAATCTCATGTGAAGTCTCTGACTTTTGTGTTGGCGCCTCCTGGTGGACTATGTGTAAAATGCCAGAATTCATATGATGCTGCTACAGCTGATATATATTTG